CAAACCCATAATTTTGTTTGGTTTCTCCCAGAAGAGGAAGCGCCGAGAGAAGGACGACGACGCCGTCAGCCTGAGCAGCCTCGACTTTAAGGTACTGAAAATCAATTTACAACACCTAAAAATCAATTTATAACACCTGAAAATCAATTTACAACACCTGAAAATGAATTTACATTATTTCCAATCCCCTTTTTTGGCAATTTCTGTGGAGTTTTTTGGGTTTTGAATTTCAGGTCGCGCCCAGCTGGGTTTGCTCCTCTCCCAATCCCAAATTCCAGACCCACTCCAGGTTGGATGTGGTGTAAAATAAATGAGTTTCACCCACAAAATGTCACTTTTTGTGCCCTCCAACTGCAGCACTTTGTTTTCGTGGCGTTTCAAAATACATTCAAATATTTAAACACGCTTTCAGTGACGCCAGAGCTCTGCAAAAGCTGAAATTTTGGAGTTCTTTGAATAGAAATATTCATTAAAATTCTTTTTAGCTGCTGACCAGCTCAGCTTGCAATTTCCTTTGAGAATCTGAGGGCTCTCAAAAAAACTCTTTTTGTGTTCAATGCTCCTTTTTAATGGTGTTTTAGGCCGCAAAAACACCATTTTTAATATTTTAATAACATTTTTCCAATGCTCAAGGCCTCTGAGTCCTCCTCCCAACGCTGCTGCCTCAATCCCAAATTCCAACCCCACCCTGGGTTGGATTTTGGGTGAAATAAATGTATTTTCTCCACAAAATCAGCATTTTTTTCAGGGGGCAGGAAGGCAAATTCTGCAAAGCCTCTTCAGATGTTGTTTTATTTTGATTTCAGTGCCCTGGGTGGGGGTGAGAACCAGCTGGACTGGCTGGGTGGGAAATTCTCCTTAAAGCTGCGGATTGAAGGGATTTACGGAGTCAGGTGGAGTTTTCCTGCTTTTCCGAGGGAAAAAATACTATATTTGTATGAGGTGGAATTTTTCCTGATTTTCTTGGGAAAAAATTCCTACATTTGTGCTGAGGTGAAATTTTTCCTGATTTTCTTGGGGAAAATTCCTACATTTATCCTGAGATGAAATTTTTCCTGATTTTCTTGGGGAAAATTCCTATATTTGTACTGAGGTGAATTTTTTCCTGATTTTCTGAGGGAAAAAATCCCACATTTGTCCTGAGGTGACATTTTTCCTGATTTTCTTGGGAAAAAATTCCTACATTTGTCCTGAGGTGAAATTTTTCCTGATTTCCTTGGGAAAAATTCCTATATTTGTCCTAAGGTGAAATTTTCCCTGATTTTCTGAGGGAAAAATTCTTTCATCCATCCTGAGGAGAGGATTTTCCTGCTTTTCTGAGGGAAAAAACCTACATTTGTCCTGAGGTGACATTTTTCCTGATTTTCTTGGGAAAAAATTCCTACATCCATCCTGGAGTGAGGCTTTTCCTGATTTTCTTGGGGAAAAAATCCTACATTTGTCCTGAGGTGACATTTTTCCTGATTTTCTTGGGAAAAAATTCCTACATTTGTCCTGAGGTGAAATTTTTCCTGATTTCCTTGGGGAAAAAATCCCACATTTGTCCTGAGGTAAAGCTTTTCCTGATTTTCTTGGGGAAAAAATCCTGCATTTGTAATGAGGTGCAATTTTTCCTGATTTTCTGAGGGAAAAAATCCCACATTTGTCCTGAGGTGAAATTTTTCCTGATTTTCTTGGGGAAAAATTCCTTCATCCATCCTGGGGTGAGGCTTTTCCTGCTTTTACGAGGGAAAAAAAATCCCACATTTGTCCTGAGGTGAAATTTTTCCTGATTTTCTGAGGGAAAAATTCCTTCATCCTTCCTGAGGTGAAGCTTTTCCTGAAATTTTTTTGAGGGAAAAACTCCTTCATCCCTCCCGAAATGAAACTTTTCCCACTTTTTTGACAGAAAAATTCTTTCATCTGTCCTGAGGGAATGATTTTCCTTTTTTTTTTCTGAAGGAAAAACTCTCACATCTGTCCTGAGGTGAAATTTTTCCTGATTTTCTGAAGGAGAAATTCCTTCATCCCTCCTGAAGGAGGTGAAGCTTTTCCTGATTTTCTTGGGGAAAACTCCCCATTTTCCATCTGTCTGTCCGCATGGGGACAGGGAGAGAAAAAGGAATTTTCCTGTTAATCACCCTTTAGTTGAAGCTTAACTAAGTGGGGTTTAAGGTTTATTAGGCTGAGATTAAAGGTGATTTACTGTGGGGCATTTCCTGTGTGACCTCATGACCAGGGCACCCTGCTGATGGCAGCTCATTTGCATTTCTGAATTAATTATTTCCTCTGAATTACTTTATTTTCTCCCGAATTATTTCTTCTTGATCATTTCTTCTTGATTATTTATTCTGCATTAATGATTCTGGACTATTTCTTCTTAATTATTCATTCAGA